AGTTCTCAGGCACTTCCAAGATGCAACTAACAGAAATGTAACTTGGTGTTTACTGTGTCCTAGGTCCAACAACTAAAGAAAAGTGAATTAGTACCTATTATGGACAGACAGACAGGGACAGAGACCCATTACAATGCTATCTCAGATAGGCATTTGAAGCTGTTTAAGTACGTAGAGGCTTAAGTCAGGCTGGTTCTGAAATGTGAGAGAGGGTTAAGCTTCATGGGAAATCAGCAGGGTAGTTTGTTGTTTTTTCTTACAACCAATCCCACAATAGTTTGGGACATCAGATATCAGATTGTTGGGAATATTTTTCCATATTAGTTTTTTTGCCTCTAATATTTAAACATAGTTTACAAGACTCCACATAGTTTACAAGGAAAGTTTACGAGCATGTGCTAAATCTCCCAGTTTCTGTGATTCCATCAATGGAAGTTATAAAATTTCAAAAACAAAAAGTTGTAAAATTTCCATCTCCACTTAATCGATCTTATGTACCTATAAGATACATCAAATGTTCTGTGTATACAATCACAGAACATTTGTGCAGATCATGCAAGGTGGGCAGACTCTAGGGATTGGAGATGCAAAGATGAATAGAGGTTGCACTGTCTCAGTCACAGCTCATTGTTATGGGTGCGGTAATGGATATAAGGAAAAAGTAATGTGAGAGCACAGAGAAACAAGAATTGAACTCTTAAAGAGAAGACTGTGGAAAGCTTCACAGAAGTGTCATTTGGACATCAGCAGTACCAAGCTGCTTCTACTCAGGTTTTTATTTTCTTTTTTTATGTTTTTTAAATTTTCCATAGGCTTTTGGGGAACAGGTGGTATTTGATTACATGAGTAAGTTCTTTAGCAGTGATTTGCGAGATTTTGGTGCACCTATATATAACCCGAGCAGTATACACTGCACGCAATTTGTAGTCTTTTATCCCTCGTCCTCTACCCACCCTTTTCCCCTGAGTCCCCAAAGTCCATTGTGTCATTCTTACACCTTTGCATCCTCATAGCTTAGCTGTCACTTATGAGTGAGAACATACGATGTTTGGTTTCCTGTGTTACTTCAATTAGAATTATAGTCTCCAGTCTCATCCAGGTTGCTGTGAGTGCCATTAATTCATTCCTTTTCTGAGTAGTATTTCATCTCATATATATATATATGTATATATGAGATACATATATGTGATATATATGTGAAATTATAGATATAGATATAGGTATAGACAGAGAGTTTCTTTATCCACTCATTGATTAATGGCATTTGTGTTGGTTCCACGATTTTGCAAGTGTGAATTGTGCTGCTATAAACATGTGTGTGCAAGTATCTTTTTCGTATAATGACTTCTTTTCCTCTGGGCAGACACCCAGTAGTGGGCTTGCTGGATCAAATGGTAGTTCTATTTTTAGTTCTTTTATTTATTTATTTATTTATTTATGTATTTTTAAATTATATTTTATGTTCTAGGGTACATGTGCACAACGTGCAGGTTTGTAACATACGTATACATGTGCCATGTTGGTGTGCTGCACCCATTAACTCGTCATTTACATTAGGTATATCTCCTAATGCTATCCCTCTCCCCCCACCCCACAACAGGCCCTGGTGTGTGATGTTCCCCTTCCTATGTCCAAGTGATCTCATTGTTCAATTCCCACCTATGAGTGAGAACATGCAGTGTTTGGTTTTCTGTTCTTGTGATAGTTTGCTGAGAATGATGACTTCCAGCTGCATCCATGTCCCTACAAAGGACACGAACTCATCCTTTTATATGGCTGCATAGTATTCCATGGTGTATATGTTTTCTTAATCCAGTCTGTCATTAATGGACATTTGGGTCAGTTCCAAGTCTTTGCTATTGTGAATAGTGCTGCAATAAACATATGTGTGAATCACCATACTCTCTTCAATAGTTGTTTCCACCAGCAGTGTACAAGTGTTCCATCTTCACCACATCTATGCCAACATCTATTCTTTTGTGATTTTTTATTATGGCCATTCTTTCAGGAGTAAGGTAGTATTCCACTGTGGTTTTGATTTGTATTTATTTCCCTGATCGTTAGTGATGTTGAGCATTTTTTCATATGTTTGTTGGCCATTTGTATATCTTCTTTTGAGAACTGTTTATTCATGTCCTTAACCCACTTTTTGATGGGATTGTTTGTTTTTTTCTTGCTAATTTGTTTGAGTTCATTGTAGATTCTGGCTATTAGTCCTTTGCCAGATGTATAGATTATGAAGATTTTCTCCCACTCTGTGGGTTGTCTGTTTATTTTGCTGACTGTTCATTTTGACATACAAAAGCTCTTTAGTTTAACTAAGTCCCAGCTATTTATCTTTGTTTTTATCACATTTGCTGTGGAATTCTTGGTCATTAAATCCCTGAATAGGCCAGTGTCTACAAGGGTTGTTCTAATGTTATCTTCTGTAATTTTTATAGTTTCAGGTATTAGATTTAAGTCTTTCATCTATCTTGAGTTGATTTTTGTATAAAGTGAGAGATGAGGATCCAGTTTCATTCTCCTACATGTGGCTTGCCAATTATCCCAGCACCATTTGTTGAATAGGATGTCCTTTCCCCCCTTTATGTTTTTATTTGCTTTGTCAAAGATCAGTTGGCTGTTAGTATTTGGGTTTATTTCTAGGTTCTTTATTCTGTTTCATTGGTCTATGTGCCTGTTTTTATACAAGTACCATGCTGTTTTGGTGACTATGGCCTTATAGTATAGTTTGAAAGCAGGTAATGTGATGCCTCCACATTTGTTATTTTTGCTTAATCTTGCTTTGGCTATGTGGGCTCTTTTTTTGTTCCATGTGAATTTTAGGCTTTTTTTTCTAGTTCTGTGAAGAATGTTGGTGGTATTTTGATGGGAATTGCATTTAATTGTAGATTTCTTTTGGCAGTATTACCCAGGCTTTTCTTACTTATGCACCCTCTGCTGTTCTTTCCTTTTCTCTCTTTCCCCTTCTCTTAACCAACTGTTACCTACAGTCCAAGACTTTCTGAGGGCATTGCATCCTCCAGTAAGTCTCCCTGAATCTTCTCTTCCTCCCCAGGCTTATTATATATCCTTCCTCTTGGTTCCCATTGCACCTGTGCACACTTCTGTCATTGCACTTGCCAATTTGTTTTGTGATGATCTGCTCATCTGTCTCCTCACTTAGACTATGAGCTCACTGAGAGCAGTGGCTGTCATATTCACCTTATATTCTCAACACCATCTTGAAAGCAAGAGAAAGAATACTCAGAGGTGGAGCTGGGAAGCTGGTTGTCTAAGTAGTGAATGACTCTAGTTTGAACTCTATAGCCAGTGGCAATGTGGATGCATTGACAGTTTTTTAACAGGAGCCTAGTGAAATCACATTTGGGTTTAGAAAAAATTGCAAGTCTGATGACATGCATAGAATTAAGAGAGGAAATTAGGGATAGGAATTTCACTTCAGAAATTTAACCACAAGTATAAGTGAGAGATCACAGAAGTCTGAACCAGACTATAAATGTGAGAATAGAGAAAAAGGTTAACAATTTGGGTGTGAGAGGGCGAGGGGAGAGGTGTGAAGAATGACTAACTGTGGATCTGTTTTTAAGGATTGAATGGAAATCTGAGCATTTTAACTAATCAGGCCTAATGCTGAGTTTTGAGCAAAGCAAAATTCTTGCAAATTGTTATTTCAAATGTGGGCTGAGAAAATGAAGAAATATAAATTCTCACATTATAACCTCTTCCATGTGTCTGATTTGATAGAGTCCGCCCCCATTGCCTCCAAATCTCGTTGCATCTTAGACAAGCAAGCACAAGTGAATTCTATTTAACCTTAGAATTCTATATGAAAATCTTATTGCCTTTTTTTTCTAATTATGTGTCTAAGTGTGGGAAGAACTTTTATCTATGTTTTAATAACTTGCCAGTATAACCACTTTTACTTGAAAATTTTATAATTTTTCAAGTAAACAAATTATTTCTCTAAGTTGAAAATTTTATGACTGAATAAAAGTATTTTTCCTCAAAACACATAGAAATTTTACAACAAATATTTTAGAATTAACTAAATGTTTCTTTAGTAGTTCAGTCACTTAAAAAGTTATATGATTATGAAAATACTTAAACTTTGTCTTTTAACTATTTCTAATAATGCTATTGGTATAATTTCATATTTTTATACTGATCTTTTCTCCAAACTTTAGTAAAACATACTTCTGTAAACCCCTACCTGCAAAACTGGAGTCCACATTTACTTCTGAATGACTGATAAGGTTGTAAAAGTATGCATGAATTTCGTTATTAAGTTAAAGTTTTTATTGTATTTTATGCACAATGGTATAAATATTAAATTAATTTTCAAGCCTATAGAACATTGATAAAGATTGTTGTTGTTATTAGAAAACCCTGAGTTGATTGTTATAAATTACATAACCTTTCATTGGTGGATTAATGAATATGGTATAGGGTGACCATGAATCCAAAGAATCAAGGCTGGCTACAGCAAACAGAGGGTCAAAAGGATATGGAACTATGCATGATCTAGCAAAACACTCAATATCTATGCTAAACTACCATGTTTTCCTGGAATGTTAAAAGACAAAGAAGAAAACTTGGGGAACACTAGATGCATATAGTTCTGAGTCTTTACGAATCAAAATATGGGCTGGGCACGGTGGCTCACACTTGTAATCCTAGCACTTTGAGGGAGGCCAAGGTGGGTGGATCACAAGGTCAGGAGTTCAAGACCAGCTTGGCCAACATAGTGAAACCCTGTCTTTACTAAAAATACAAAAAAAAAATTACAAAAATAAAAATTAACTAGGCATGGTGGCAAGTGCCTGTATTCCCAGCTACTTGGGAGGCTGAGGCAGAAGAATCACTTGAACCCGGGAGGCAGAGGTTGCAGTGAACCAAGATCGTGCCACTGCACTCCAGCCTGGGTGACAAAGCGAGACTCTGTCTCAAAGAAAAAAAGAATAAAAATATGAATGGTCAGAGTGCTGGTACCTTGTCCAGTGCAGTCCTGCCTCGGGATTGCATTGCAGCAAGTCTGACTCTGTCTGAGAGACTACAGACTATATGCTTTCCCCTCTCCAAGTTAATATCTCTTGGTCTAAAGCCTGAGAAACAGTGCCAATCTTGTTTCTCTTTCTTCCTCACACATCCCAGAAGTTACACTGGGACACTATTACTTTTTTCCAGGCTTTGGCCATGTGTATTGTTTTGGTGAGTCAGCTTCCTTTTTCTTTCATTCTACAAATATATTTTAGCTGTCACTCAGCACTAGGTGCTATAAAACTTACAGGTGCATTTTACATGCCTATTTCCTACAAGTCACGATTTAACAAAATGTTCATAAATGAGAATTACTAGTGCATGTATTGAATCACCACACATTGACTGAACAGCTTTCATTGGCCAGAGACTATATTGACAGTGGAGATTCAAAGATGAACTACAGAAATCTCATGCTTAAAGAACTTTCTATAATAAATTCTGTAAGAGAAGTCGGTTCAGGGATCTTGGGAGCTCAGAAGCAGGATGAGTTTAAACAAAAGTTGGATTTTGCCTTTAGCTTGGTTTCATTACCCTGAAAGCAGAGCCTGAAATATACTGTAGGGTGCAAGTAGTATATGTGGGTGGTAATCTCGGGAAACAGGAGCATGTGATGAATAAGGAGAAAAAGCCAATATAAAGATACCGCATTGAGGGCAATGAGGGCTCTAATTCTCCGCACCTTCTCAAGCATTGTGCAGATTGGTTTTCTGAATTATCAGCCTGAAGGACAAAATGAAGAAACAATCATTAGCTCCTGTCTCCCATTGTCTGAGAGCTGCCACTAGGATATTAACTTCCTGAAATTCTGCAGAAATCTCCTCTTACTTTGGCACTGGAGATGCCCATACGCAGAAAGCAAAAAGGCACAGCATATTTCAGGAAGCTCATAAGAAACAGTGCATCCAGAAGTGGTGAGAATTGGAGGAATGGGCATGGGACTGTAAGAAGCGGCGCCTTTGATGTTCCTTTTGATCTGATATGTAGCTCTTCTTGTATACAGGTGAGCAAAGGCATGCTGGACAAATGGATTCACATGTGCTAAAGCAAGGGGTAAAAAGCGAATAATAATTCAGGAAAAGGCAAGATGTTTGGCCCTCTCTGACTCTGTCTAATGGTGAATCAGAGAGGGGATGTATGTAAAAGAGTGGCAGGGCAGGACTTGAGATAAGAAGGCTAGGTGGGTGCTCTCATGCTAGTAGCATTATAGTACAGGTGATGAGAAGCTCCTGAAGAATCATCTTAACATCTGTATTGTAGAGCAACAATACTGAGCTCTGACTTAGAGGCAGCAAAACTAAAGACAGACCATTTTGATTATTAATGATGTAAATACAAGAATATTGTCAACATGAACTAAAGCATGAAGCTACTTATGATTTATCATCAGAAGGATTTAACTGATTGGAAACAAACAGAGAGGGAGGGGGAAAAGAATTCATTTGTTTTTATTTACTCTTTTTTCCTACTTATTCCTTAGTTCTGAGTGTGAATAAACTTTGTAAACACTTATACTAAAACATTCTGCTCATTCATACTTATTTATTTGATGAAAGAAGAAAACCCTTGTATAGTTATAAATGTGTGAATCAATTTAAATATTAGGAAATGTTTTAAAAATAAAGCTAATTTTCCGGAGGGGAAAAACTTGGTTAAATTTTTTGCTGGCAATCTGCTTTGTGGTTTTTGAACATGATATCTACATCTAGACTCACGTTTTGCTAGTTAGAATTTTTTTTTTCAAATTAATGCTACCATTATTATATGCTTCACTATTTAGCTTTTGCAGCCTTGGAAATCTATGATTAATACAAATAATCCTCTATGGCAATTTTAAAAATACATGTAAAAGCGTTCAATCTACATTGCTACTGTGTAGTAGCACAAAAAAAAGAAACTGTCATCAAATTTGAATAAAATCTACCATTTATTCCCTTCTAAATGCAGTCCTGGCTCAAGAGAAAGGAAGCTATTTGTATTTTTCAGAATCAAACTTCCTTAAGTGAATATAGAGTAAGAGTTATAACTGAAATAGTGTTGAAACAGTGGTCATCTCAAATCTGAAGGTCATTCCAAGAAAAGTTTCTGAGTTTTCATTGCCTCAATCTAAAAGTTGGCCTTTTTGGTAAAAGATGAAAGTAAAATAATTAAAGGGTCTGTTGCAGCTTTGGAATATCTTCAAAATATAGTAGAGTGAAGCCTTCTTCCCTCAAATGAAAGACAATTTGCTCATTGTGTTCTTTCTGGGCAGATAAGAATAATGCTTTCTTTCATTTGTTAGTCTTAACACCTCACTTGTTACTATGTGTCAGAAAAGCGAGACACTGTAAATGGAGATACTACTGATGGAGGTCATCTGACATGGGGCTGGTAGGCAGTGGGAAGATTGGTATGCACACAGGTAGCTTAGGGGTTGGGGGATGATTTGGAACCAAGGAAATGATAATTAGCAGAACCCAGTGTGCATGTGTGTACATTCGTGTGTCCGCGTGTGTGTGTACTGTAGTGCAATGCAAGAAAGGAAAAAAAAGGCAGACTTTTCATAATTTCAGGGATAAATAAATCCTTAATCACTTCCAAGTAGAATATTGGCTACTTGGAGATATATCTAAACATAAATATATAACTATATAACTGCATGCTAATTAAAAACACACAAAGAAGTGCCTAAAGAATTACAACAGAAAGTGGCATAGTAATTATTAGAGTTAATATAGTATAAATAAGGCCAGGCATGGTGGCTCATGCCTGTAATCCCAGCACTTTGGGAGGCCAAGTTGGGGAGATCACTTGAGGAGAGGAGATAGAGACGAGTCTGGCCAACATGGTGAAACCCATCTCTGCTAAAAATACAGAAATTAGTTGGGTGTCGTATTGGGCGCCTGTAATCCCAGTTACTCAAGAAACGGAAGCAGAAGAATTGTTTGAACCTGGAGGCTGAGGCCGCAGTGAGCCAAGGTCACTCCACTGCACTCTAGCCTGGGTGACAGAGCAAGACCCTGTCTCAAAAAAAAAAAAAAAAAAAAAAAAAGTATAAATAATAGTTCAAAACACAAGTCTGTTAAGAGAAAAGGTACAGAGGAATGGTGAGACGACTTTTTTATTTGTATGATAAAGGACTGTTTTCAGTGACTGTGAGAAAGACCAGGAGTTAAGAAAAAGTGACCATCAATAAATGAGCCACTTGTGGGGAAGAACCATAAGCCACTCTCAGCTGAAGTACAAATGCCATCATTATTTAATATGATTGGAATATTAGTATTAGTTTTTGGTATGTACTGCTAGTACTGGTACATTTTAATAGTCAATTAATATTTTGTTAATATTAATTTCTAACTAAATTACAGAGTGAAATGGAAATAATACTGAAAAAAATTTTATTTACAAAACGGATTTTGTTTTTTTTCCCGTTAAGAATGATACACAGTTGTTCTTCAGCAGCCATAGGGGATTGGTTTCAGGACCTCCCTTGGGTACTAAAATCTGCAGATGCTCTAGCCCTTGTTATAAAATGGCTTAGTATTTGTATATAACCTATGCACAGCCTCTCGTATACTTTAAATCAGGGGTCCCCAACCCCAGGGCCACAACCAGTACTGGTCCATAGCCTGTTAGGCTATTTGATACCAGGCTGCACAGCAAGAGCTGAGCTCCTCCTCCTGTCAGATCAGTGATGACATTAGATTGTCATAGGAGCACGAACCCCGTTGTGAACTGCACATGTGAGGGATCTAGGTTGTGCACTCCTTATGAGAATCTAATGATAAATGTAATGTGCTTGAATCATCCCAAAACCACTCCCCTTCCCCTCACCATCCCTATCCATGGAAACATCTCTTCCACAAAACCAGTCCCTGGTGCCAGAAAGGTTGGGGACTGCTGCTTTAAATCGTCTCCAGATTACTGATGATGCCCAATACAATGTAAATTCTAGTAAATAGTTTTTATACTATATTGTTTAGAGAATAATAAAAAGAAAAAGGCTACATGTTCAGTTTAAGTGTTGATAAGTGTGCAGAGAAAAGGGAACCTTCATACATTGTTGGTAGAAATATAGATTCGTGCAACCATTATGGACAATAGTATGGAGGTTCCTAAAGAAATTAAAATTAGAATTACCTAAGACCCAGCAATCCCTCCTCTGGGTATGTACCCAAAGGAAATGAAATCATCACCTCATAAAGTTATCTGCACTGCTCTATTCATTGCAGCATTATTTACAGCAGCCAAGATATGGAAACCACCTAGGTATGTGTTGGTGGATGAATGGATAAAATAAACTGTGGTATATGTATATACAATGGAACATAATTCAACCTTAAAAAAGGAGGAGACCCTGTCATTTACCACAACATGCATGGACCTGGAGGATATTAAGCTATGGGAAATAAGCCCAATGCACACTCACCTCACACACAAAATCGCATAATCTCACTTACATGTGAAATCTAAAAAGAAAAAGGTCAAATATACAGTTAAAATAAAACAGTAGTTACTAGCTGAACATGGTGGCTCACGCGTGTAATCCTAGCACTTTGGGAAGCCGAGGTGTGTGGATCACCTAAGGTCAGGAGTTCAAGACCAACCTGGCCAACATGGCGAAACCCCATCTCTACTAAAAGTACAGATACTAGCCGGGTGTGGTGATGGGTGCCTGTAATCCCAGCTACTAGGGCGATTGAGACAGGAGAATCACTTGAACTCAGCAGGTGTAGGTTGCAGTGAGCCGAGATGGTGTCGCTTCACTCCAGCCTGGGCAAAGAGCGCAACTCTGTCTCAAAATAAAAAACAAAACATAAAACACAGTGCACACAGTGGTTACCATGAGTGAGGTGGCGGGGAGGAGACTGGGAAATGTAAATCAAAGGATACAAAGTAGCAGGTATGTAGGAGGAACTATAAAGCTGACATGCAGGATGACAACTATAATTAGTAATAATGTATTGTATTCAGGATTTTTGCTAATTGAGTAGATTATAGCTGTTCTTGCCACAGGGGAAAAAGTGGGTAACTATGTGAGATCATGGATATGCTAATTTTTGTCACCATAATAACCATTTCACTGTATACATTCATCTTATAACAGCATGTTATTTACTGTAAATATACACAATAAAATTTATTTTTAAATATCTGAGTATGATTTGATGAATTGTGAAAATAGAGTGAATTATAATAATTTCAAATGTAAGTTAATGTTATTAGAAAAGAAACAGAAAGAACGTATCACACAGAAAGTCTGTCTGAAGGATCTTTGTTTTATCCACCAATACAAGTGTTCATTGATTCAGAGGTGGATTATAAGATATGACCATAAAACAAAAATTTCAAGGGAAATATAGTTAATTCAATGAAAAATTCTCAACACAACAGTTACATGCCAGTAAACACTATATCTTTTAGATAACAGATCATATCTATTATATTTAAAATTCAAGGAGAGACTACATTAGAGATGCTATTAGATCAGCTTCTAATTTCAAAGATTTCTAAGATATGGAATGGTTATTCCGTATACAAATTTAAAAAGCCAATGCTGAAGAAATTCAGCTGCATAGATACACCATGAGGTGGAAAGATGCTCCATCACTCTTAATTAAACTGCATTAATTACACATAAAAGGAAAATGTTTCATTTCATTGTTATCTGGAAACCAAAGAAAGAAAAGGCTGAATTTTTACATAGTGTTAAAGAGATTGCATATCTGTACTACGTTTAAGACAGAGGCAAAATGTATTTTATTCATTTGTCCTGCACCAGTTAGAAATAAAATTCAACTTCCTTTTACTTTTCTTTTTGAGAATAAAAAACTCAGTCTAAGGAAAATCTTAAGGTTTTCATTTTAAGTGATCCACTGTTCTAGAAGTTTAGTATTTTGTTTAAAATGTTTATGCTCTGTATTCCACCAAGTCTAGTTTTAAAACAAAACACACAACAACAAAATACTTCTGTAACTTGGAGTTTAAGGTGAAAGAAACCAACTACATGGTTTGAAAATATCA